TTATAATGTTCCTTAAGTCGACTTGGTCCATGTGAAGCCAATGGTAGGTGCTCCAAAAAAGTGAGAGGCAAAGAAGGTGCAACTGCTGGGGACCCTAAGGCCGAAACCTGAAAGCCTGAACCCTAAACCTTAAATCATAAGTTAAACCCTACCCAACTAACCCCAACCTCTCAACCACACCACAGCGGCTTGCGGAGGGGGGGGGGAGGCGGAGGGGAGGGTGGGGGGGGGGGGTTTCGTGGGGAGGGGGGGCTGGGGTGGGGGCAGGGGGTGGGTGGGGCCACACATTGTTTTTTCTATATTTATTTCTTCCTTGAAGCACTGCAGTTCTTGAAGTCTCCGGGTTGCTACGACGACGGCAGCCACTCGTCACGCTAGCTGGCCTCATGGGTGCCTTGCCTGGAGCAATGAAGGCGCTACCTGCGAGGGATGCGACTCCTTTTGTGGCGCAGGGGACTTAGGGTTTAGGGCCTAGGGTTTAGGGTTTAGGGTTAGGGTTACTTATGACCCAATTTTAATGGCTACTTACAACCCACTGAGAATCCGATAAGCCCCCTAAAAGTACCTCAACGGGGGGTCTTACGTACAGCTATAGAACTGTACTTAAAACCCGCTTAGAAGCCCCTGATTTCCTTGGGGCTTCTAAACCCTAAACCCTAAACCCTAAAAACCCTAAAGACCCTAAAAACCCTAAAAACCCTAAAAACCCTAAAAAACCCTATAAACCCTATAAACCCTAAAAAAACCTATAAACCCTATAAACCCTATAAACCCTATAAACCCTATAAACCCTAAAAACCCGAAAAACCCTAAAAACCCTAAAAACCCCTAAAAAACCCTAAAAACCCTAAAAACCCTAAAAACCCTAAGAACCCTAAAAACTCTAAAAACCCTAAACCCTAAACCCTAAACCCGAAACCCTAAACCCTACACCCTAAACCCTATACCCTAAACCCTAAACCCTAAACCCTTCCCTGAACCTCCAAGTACACACCCGTCAGAAGCGAGGATTCAGCACTGCTTTCACCCAGCGACTCCTTGACCAGGAAGGGAAAGTTTTGCCTTAAAAGAAAAAGCCTCGTAGCCCGGTAACCATGTTTTAAGAAGGGTGCCCTTTTTACCTTAAAAGAAAAACTTAGTGGCCCAGTAACCATATTTTAGGAAGGGTACCCTTTTTACCTTCAAAGAAAAAATTAGTGGCCCAGTAACTATATTTTAAGAAGGGTAACCTTTTTACCTTAAAAGAAAAAACTTAGGGGCCCAGTAACCGTGGGATACCGTTTTCTTGCTTGGGAACCCAGAAGCTAAAAAAGGGTAAAGTGGAAGTACCACTGGGCCTGCAAGAAAAACAAGAGGCGGGACACCAACATTCATCTTGTTTTACTAATCTTACTTGCCTAGGGGGGATAGTTTGGAGCCCCTAAACCCTAAACCCTAAACCCTGAACCCTGAACCCTAAACCCTAAACCCTAAACCCTAAACCCGAAAAAATCTCCGCTCCCTCAGGCCGCCCCCCCCATCCGGCCTGCCCAGAGTGCTAGCCTGGAGCCGGAGCTGCTGTGTCTTTGCGAACATCACTTCAGGGCTCTACCCAGACCCGTGGGAGGAGCCACAAATGGCCCAAACCCTAAACCCTAAACCCTAAACCCTAAACCCTAAACCCTAAACCCCAAACCCTAAACCCTAAACCCTAAACCCTTAAGAGTTCCTAGCAATGACCCAATTGTGTAGGGGGAAGATTTTGGGGGGTTCGACTTTTGGGATCCTCCCAGGGACTTGAAATTCAGGGCCTTTGTAGCTTCAGGGTTTTAGGGTTTAGGGTTTAGGGTTTAGGCTCTTGGGGTCTTTGGTTCTTGTTGGTGTTTTGAGGGGTCTTGGTGGGTTTCTTGCGGTTTAGGGGTATGAGAACTTAGGGCTTTAGGGGTCGTAGGGGTCTTTTGGGGTCTTGAGGCCTTCTGGGCTTAGGGTTGTAGGGTTTCAGGGCTTAGGGCTTTCGGGTTGGGGGTCTCAGGGTGTAAGGGTCTTAGGATCTTCGGGTTCCGGTCTTAGGGTCTTACTGGTTTTAAGGGTTTAAGGGGCTAGGGTTTTCGAGTCTAGGCGTCTTTGGGTTTACAACAAGGTCTGGGCCAGCATTGCTCCCCGCCTCCTCAAGACGCTTTGGAATAAAAGTATGGATCCTAGACCCTATAGACCCTAGACCCACCCTAGACCCTAAACCCTGAACCCTGAACCCTAAGCCCTAAGCCCTAACCCTAAACCCTACACCCTAAAGCCTACGCCCTAAACCACAAACCCTTAACCTTAAACCCTGAACTCGCGGCTTAGGCCGCCCCCGGCCGCCCGCCGCCCCCCCACCCCCCGCCTTTCCACCCCAAGCCCTTTACTGTAACCCCTAGACCCTAACCTAAACACTTAACCCTAAATCCCTAAAACAAAAGTCAAAATCCCGAAGCCCTAAAAAATAAACCTAAACCCCTAAAAACCCGAAGCCCTAAACCCTAAACCCCTAAATCCCGAAGCCCTAAACCCTAAACCCTAAGCCCCTAAACCCCTAGACCCTAAACCCCTAAAGCCCAAACATCCAGGCGCACGGCGCAAGGGCGGCCAACGCTGCGATGCGAGAGCTGCGCATCCTGCAGAGAGTGGGCGGAGGGTTTTAGGGTTTAGGGCTCAGGGTTTTAGGGTTTAGGGTTTAGGGTTTATAGGGCTTAGGGTCTAGGGTCTAGGGTTTAGGGTTGAGGGTTTAGGGTTTAGCACAGAGGGTTTAGGCCGGCTGAAAAAAACTCAGGGTTTACTCGGAGGTTCCTGTACCCCTTAATGAGGGAGTAGTGCTGATACTATACGTTGCATCCGAATACGAATATTCCTGCATGAAGGAGTTTTTCTTCTGCATTGGAGTGGGCCGGATCTGTTGCAGACTCACGTGAGGCGAGTGGAAAAGACCCAAGCCCCCAAGTCCCAAACCCGAACCCTAAACTTTAAAAACCCTAACTAAACCCTACACCTGGGAATCTCTGGTGACGGCTCACACCTGGCGGCTAAGACACACAGGCCAACTCCTGTTAGTGAGGATGAGCACACAAAAGCCATGTCAAAAACCGGTACATGACCCTACTTAGATTAGAAGCTCTTTTGACTTTGTAAGTCTACTTCTAGTATGCTCTAGAAACCCTAGTAGAATCCCCATAACCCACCTTCCGAACCCTCAAAAAGCCCTGAGCCCTAAACCCTAAAGCCCTTTTACAGTCCTTCTACGCGGGAAGTCCAGACTTTTGCACTTCGTGGGCCCTCCAGACATTCGAACATCCCTTCGGAAATATTCCTTTAAGCTGCAACCCTAAACCCTAAACCCTAAACCCTAAACCCTAAACCCTAAACCCTAAGCCCTAAGCCCTAAGCCCTAAACCCTAGACCCTTAACCCACAGCCCTAAGCCTTGCAAGCCCTAAGCCCTGAACCCTAAAGCCTAACTCCAGGGTTTAGAGTTTGAGGGATCCTAAGAAGATTTCAGGAACCTCTAACTCACCCCAATACTGAACTCGAGGGGCTAATTCAAGAGGGTATTCCAAGTATTGCTTATGGGTAGCTCTCTAAGTTAAGGCTCCCTTTTTGGGGTCCTCCTAGATGGTACGGCACCTTACAAAAGACCCCAAAAGGGACCCTAATTTACAGAACCCTAAACCCTAAACCCTAAACCCTAAACCTGAAACCCTAAACCCTAAACCCTAAACCCTTCCCCCATACAGCTTCACGGCCTCGAAGTCGTCACTGCGGATGGCAAGAACGGGGAGTGACTTTCAAACTGCTGCGGGAGGAGGGGTTTAGGGTTTAGGGTTTAGGGTTTAGGGTTTAGGGTTTAGGGGGTTTAGGGTTTAGGGTTTAGGGACTAGGGATGACTCCAGGCTAACACTGGCCAGTTTTCCTTGCACAACACGAAAGCTTCTGCAAGAATACCGTAGCGAGAACTCCAAGCTCCTGCACTTCTTGGTAGAGAATTCGGGAATTAGGTACCTTCTGTCCCCTTACAGGTACCTCATTAGGGGAGAGGATTAGGGGGACCCTTGGGGATAAAGAGCCTCTGAATAAGGTCCCTGTTTAAGAGAGGCAGAAGAGGGTTAAGAAGGGCTTCCCTTTTTAAGGGGCCCCCTTATCCTACCTAGGGTTTAGGGTTTAGGGTTTAGGGTTTAGGGTTTAGGGTTTAGGGTTTAGGGTTTAGGGTTTAGGGTTTAGGGTTTAGGGTTTAGGGTTTAACTTCTATCCCCTTACAGGTACCTCATGCCCTAACTCCAGATCTGCTCTGCGGCAGCCCCACTTTCCTCGCATCTGCAAGCGGCGCCCCCGACGCCAAGTTTGGTGCCGAGCCTAACCCTAAACCCTAAACCCTAAACCCTAAACCCTAAACCCTAAACCCTAAACCCTAAACCCTAAACCCTAAACCCTAAACCCTAAACCCCGGGGGCAGCTCAGGAGGCTGTCTTGCCTGGGATCAAGCACCCATGCTTGGTTGCCATGATTCCATGCTGAGACACACAGCAGCACAACAACCCCAAAGGATCCATGTACCTTAGGGTTTAGGGTTTAGGGTTTAGGGTTTAGGGTTTAGGGTTTAGGGTTTAGGGCCTATATCGTATATACTTGGGCCTTAAAGGGGTTCCTATATAGTAGCTTTAGGGCCCAAGAATATACTATATAGGTACATGGATCCTTTGGGAACAGAAGCAGGCGGTCGGGGCGCTATCTTTTTGTGTTGAGCTCAGCCTGTGTTGATTCAGCTTCTGGTAGCAACCTCAGCAAAGCTTCAAGACGATGTGAGCCGGCAGAAGCTGAAGGAGAACTGCCGCGGCTGCGGAAGATGTGCATCAAGAACATCTGCCACAGTTCCCGGGAGAGGTTCATTGATAACCGCGGTGTTAATGCTTGCATAAACGCGTGAAGTCGAATTGGCAAAACGATTTATGGCGCACCAATGCTTCTTTGAGAAGCCCGGGGCTTTGGCCACACTCACTTGCCCTCCAACGCCTTCGCAACCATGAACTTGATGGACTCACAGGAACAAGACTCTTGGTTGGGACAGCATCCCACGACCTCGCCAGCGTCAAACTCGCTGTAGTATCTCCGCTGCTGATGCGTGATGACAAGCAGGAAGCCAATGAATCCAGCCAGCAAGCCTAGTTCATGGTTACATGCTTATTCCTTCTAAACCCTAAACCCTAAACCCTAAACCCAAAAAAACACATAATGCTACCCAACTGTGACAAAGAAGCATGAGGCGGCCAAGACCGAGTAGAAGAGGAGCTGGTTGACGGCATCCACGAAGGGAAGTAGGCTGAACACGTGATGCGCGTAGCCCATGCTGCCCGAGAGCAACCTGGAGCTGACGTTGTCACTGAAAAGCATGTTGGAGACGGTGTCCGTGAACCAGAGCTGCTGCTCTGCGATCGTGGACCCCATGATGTAGGAGAGCAGGTTCTGCAACACAGCTCCCAAGTTCCCAGGGCACCAGATCAGAAGCAGGCGGAAGGCCATGAACCACGGCACTGCACGATTGACCCAGTACGTCAAGGCGTCCCGGGCAGCCGCGTAGTAGTAGGAGTAGAACCGGGTCCTGGCGGAAGGGAAACGAAACCATGCGAAAGCCACCTCTGCAAGTGCTTGCCTCCGGCTACTTTAGCAAGGACATTCGCGCTCTCCAGTGAGCGACAAGGCCGCAATCAAGCGAGAGCTTCCCGCCTTCGGTTCTTTGCGTACTTCAAGTGGTCGAAGAAGTCCATCGCCGGCTTCAGTCGCCACTTTGTTGGCGGTGGTGCCGCTGACTGTCCGCCGAAGAACGTGCAGAGGTCAAACCTGCGAGGACGGCAACAGAACAGATTTGAGGGTTAACGAAAATAGAAGGGACCCCAACATAGATCCCCCAAATAGTAGGATCCCCTTGTAAGAAGGACCCCAATAATTAAGGTACCCCCCCCCCCATTTTTCGGAAGCCCCAACATAGCCGAGGTCAGCATTACCAGAGTGGCAAAGAAAGATCAGCTAATTTCCAGAACAAGTCTGACCAAAGGAGACGCCAACTGGCAACTACACGATGGGGCCTCCCAAAACCAAGTAGAGATCAGACTTGGGATGTTCCCCCCTATACTACCAGTCCGTAATAGGGATGCTAATAAGGGGGTACTAGAATCCTTATTAAGGACTGTTAGTATACAGGGGAACATCCCAAGATCAGAGTGATTCATGGAAGCGGTCATGCACACGGGCGCTCTAACTTCATCGACCGCCACGCGTGCCTCTGCAAGAACTGCTCAGCTTGTTCCAGCCCCGAGCTCTTCGGCAGCAATGAGTCAATGAAGTGAGTAACCGCCATGATGAGGCCGTAAAAAAACCTTACTTTGTCCCCGCGAAGGAATACTCAAACAAAGGTAAAGCTGCATCATTCCTGCAACTTATAAAGAGTCTGCATCAGCTTACGCAAAATCTTCAGAACTCTTGGCTAAGAAACGCCACGATCGGCACCAGCAAGATTGACAGAACCGTGGTCATGACATAGGCTGGCGCTGCCGAGGTCAAGACGAGGAGCGTGTCATCTGACGTGGTCACGATTCCACGGACCCATCCGTCCAGGAAGAACTTGTAAAAGGAGTCCTCCATGTTGCAGTACCCGACCAATTCTGCCTTGTAGTAATAGAAGACTTTTGAGTCAAGGCCTGCTGCCACGGCACGGACCTGGCTTGTGACAGGACAGAGGTCTGCCGAGGTCAGGTAGTTTGGTGCAATTTGAATGGAGGACGCAACGTAGAACGCGGAGAGGATGACAAGAAGGTTGCTCATCACAAGGCCCAGCAATCGCACTTGCTTGCCTTCCAGCGGTTCCACAGAGTGATGCTGGGCATAGAGGCCTGGGTGGTGATATCGGGCTGCGCAGCCGGCGCAGTATCGCGTGTCACACTCCACGCACCAGAAGGCTGAGGGGGACGCACACTTGGAGCAATAGATCATGAAACCTAGGACCAAGAGAAAACCTAGGAATGAAAAAGCCCCGAACCCCAAACCCTAAGCCCTAAGCCCTAAACCTAAAACCTAAAACCTAAACCCTAAACCCTAAACCCTAAACCCTAAACCCTAAACCCTAAACCCTAAACCGAAGCCTAGAAACTCCATGCGGGAGCCGAGGGCCAAGGATAGAGGGAGTGATTGCACAACGCCAACCTGCATGATGAGAAGTACTTCGTCACCTTCGTTGCTGAGTTCACAACCCCCAACAAGTGGTTTAGGGTTTAGGGTTTAGGGTTTGGGGTTCATGGTTGGGGTAATATTAAAAATTTCAATTTATATTCCTCATTGGGTTTAAGTACCCTTAAAAATGTAGAATGGTACCCAACTATGACAAAGTGTAAAGTGTAAAGTGTCCTCATTCAGCTACTACGTCACCGGAGCAAGCACTGCAAAGCGAGAGCTGTAGCGGTCCTTGGAAAATAAGAAGTGATCCAGTGGACGGAAGACATACTGGAGGAAGAGGTCGATGATGACCGTTACAGGACCCATGGCTGCAGATCGTTATGCTCTCCTGATCATCAAACGGCTGCCGAAACGGAAAGAAGCAAACTTGTGAGCAGAATGCTGTGCAAACCGTCACACAAGCTGGGCAGGCATTCGTCTTTGGGGCCCGCACGTCGGAATGTTCATGATGCTCAGACGTCGATCCTGGCACGATCTTAAAGCCTTTGCTGGCTTGCTTCATACGTCTTCAACTGTCGTCTTAAACCTAGACTTTAAGCATTGAAATCCACAAGCACGCGCCTTCTTCCTCGGCTCGCAGAAAGGTCGAATCTGAGGTACTCCCGCCGGTGCTCACATGATGCCCACAGCACGCTCAAGCGTGACCACAACCTGCGCTCTGAGACTAGGGTTTAGGCTTTAACATAACCTTCAGCTCTAAACCCTCAACCCCCTTTCAAGAGTGGATCCATGCCATGAATCTATACAAATATGCTCACAGACTTTTGGAGCTGCTCCTACTCCATGCACTCTGGCCGGTTGCACAGAACACTGCCGATGCTTCTACTTCCACGAACCACATGATGCCGAATAGTTCGCCCCAAGCGAGCTTTCCCCGTGGCCAGCTCAGGAGCCAGAGGCCAGCAAAGGAGTGCTTTTGAACGCGAGATCTTTGCTGAACCCTTGCGACCCGCCCTGAGACTGCCTGAGACCTCTGGTCAAACCTCCTCGGACAGAGCCTTTCCGGGACCGCGTGCACCGCTAGGACCTGGCCTACCCTTTCAAGGCGGGGTGTCGAACTAGTACTGGAATCGGTCACTCCTTTTGGGGTACCCCTCACAGACTCTGAATCAGGGCTTCGTGAGGGAAGCCCCTCAAGCGCTGGACGGAAGAAGCTTTTGCGTAGGCATTCAAATTGAGTTCAGGCCTAAACTCATAGGTTGCCATCCTAACCTGCACAGCTTCTGCGCCACGTCACAACAAACCCTATAAACCAAAAAAACCCAAACCCTAAACCCAAACCGCCTGAACAACCAATGCTTGCACGAAAGTCTCCAAGTTGTGGCAAATGGCCTCCAAGTGCCGCGTTTGAGGAAACAGGTCGAAGGGAGTCGCCTCAAGCCCGACGCGCCAATCTCTCAATGCCACGGCTTCCCTGCCGGGCAGCCACCCCCCCCCGCCCCTCCCCAAGTCCACTAAAGCACCCTCCCAAACCTCCCACAAAACCACCCAAAAACCCAAATCTCTGAGTAACGGCTCGCGCACACACACACACACATGTGTCGAGGGCCCCGACTGATTGCAGGCTATAGCCTGCCTCGACCAAGTCCTGGTGGCGGTTGCGGGGTTGTGGCATTTAGGGGGTTGAGGGTTTGGAGCTTAGGACTTAGGTTTGAGCATTCAGGCTTCACGCTTTCGGGTTTCGGGTCGTGGGGCGTTGAGGGATGTTAGGCCTCAGGGTTGCAATGAGATGCTTATGCACGATCGCACAAGTCCTCGTGCAGCCTGTACATCTGAACAGAAGTATCTGACGTTGCATATATGCACAAAAAACGAATCCCAGTCAAAAGAGGTGACTAGACACAAGCCAGAGCACGCATGCATGTGTCATCGATTCAGCTGGCAACAGCTCATTTTAACATGGATTGCTCTTCTGCACATAGTGCAGCCTGTCAAGCGATATATTGCAGGACAAGAAGATGCAACAGTCCACAAGGCTATGGGTTTAAGGGGTTATACAGGGTCTATAACCTTAAGGATGTACGTGACGGTGGGAACCGCTTCTTTTTTAACATTCCAACTGCAAGGTCGGCACTATAGGTTGAATGACCCCCATATACTCAGCTGATGTGTGGCAGGGCACCGCGCACTGTCCTTGAGGTCCCTGGCTTGGGTGGCCTGATCTTGGCAAAACCAAGGGTCTGCTTGGCGAATAGGGTTTAGGGTTTAGGGTTTAGGGTTTAGGGTTTAGGGTTTAGGGTTTAGGGTTTAGGGTTGAGGGTTTAGGGTTTAGGGTTTAGGGCCAGAGTCTTGGTTCTCGAGTGTGGGGTTTGGATCTAGGACCTCGGACCTATGCCTCGCCAGAGATAAACAAGGTGCGGAACATGAGACGCTTTCTCCCGAGAAGGAGCGCGGCGTCCCACGTCCGGACGCCCTAAACCCTAAACCCTAAACCCTAAACCCTAAACCCTAAACCCTACATCCTAAACCCTGAACTTGCAAACTATCAGAAGCACTTGGTATGCATCGAAACCTCTTCTTCACTTCCTCCAACCGACGGCTGCAACAAGGGTTTAGGGTTTAGGTCAATCAGAAAGGAGAGCTTCGTGCTGCTGGGCGGCGCAGTCGCAGGACACGTAAACCACACGGAAGGGCCGCCAAGAAGCCAGTGCCTCTCGTGCCTGCGATGGCTGCGAGCAACAAAGCCCTAAACTCTAAACCCTAAACCCTAAACCCTAAACCCTAAATAAGACTACATGCTTCCCAACTGAGATGTTGGGAAGCTGGGCGGCCGGGCACCCGAAGATATCCGAGAAGCTTCTGGCAAGAAGCGGAAGAAGCTTACTTGGAGGTTTCGCCCTAAACCCTAAACCCTAAACCCTAAACCCTAAAACCCTAAAACCCTAAACCCTAAAACCCTAAACCCTAAACCCTAAAGCTTAGTACCCCAATCATACCTGTACTTATACCCCAATTATAACCCTACTAGGGCACCTCAGGGGCTTCTAATAAGTGGGCTTGGGGTTTGGGGTTTAGGGTTTAGGGTTTAGGGCTTACTGCACTTATCATTGGGGTTATAAGCACCCTGAACCTCCAAGTAGACGGCCCGGAGCCCTTCAGTCGAAGGTCTCAGACGCCTCTGCCCCAACTGCCTGAAGATCTGGCAGTTTCCCATGTCCTATGGCCGACTCAAAGAGTCCAAAACTGCTTGACCTATAGAACTAAACCCTAAACCCTAAACCCTAAACCCTAAACCCTAAACCCTAAACCCTAAACCCTAAACCCTAAACCCTAAACCCTAAACCCTAAACCCTAAACCAAAAAAACCCATTTAGGGGCACCAAAAATCGGCAAAGAATCGCCACCTCGGGGGTCAGCCCCTGACGCGGTGGATCGAGGATAGCCACCTTAGGATGGTCCAGGTGCCGATTTTGTCTTTAGGGTTTTAGGGTTTAGGGTTTAGGGTTTAGGCTTTAGGGTTTAGGCTTTAGGATTTAGGGTTTTAGGGTTTAGGTTTTAGGGTTTAGGATTTAGGGTTTAGGATAAGGGAAGTAGGCTCCCTGGTTTCTGGTTTAGGTCTTAGGATTTGGGGTGCAGGGTTTAGGCTTTAGGGTATGTCGGGTCCCCCCACCTTATAGACTCCCGACAGAGATATGGTCCTCCATACCTCCGCCCGCCCTCCCCAACAAAAGAAAAGCTTCAGTCTATTTTTTGAGAAGTAGGGTCGTACACGATCCAAAACAAGGCTACGCCAGTTATAATTACAGTTGCCCCCCTAAACCCTGAACCCTGAAGGCCTTTGGGCCCTTCCTTGCTACCTCAGCCATGAATCCTACTTAGGGCGCCTTGAAACCTGACCGGGGCAAATGGCCTCAAGAAATAGATCCTGGAATCAGGTATGGGGTTTAGGGTTTAGAGTGTAGCCCTAAACCCTAAACCATAAAAACCCTACAAACCCTACAAACCCTACAAACCCTATAAACCCTATAAACCCTATAAACCCTATAAACCCTAACCTAATCAACACCCGATGCCACGAAGTTCCTGGACATCATATATATATATATATATACATATATATATAGTACACATATATATATATGTGAGAGAGAGATACCCCCCCCCCAATTTATCTACCGAATTTTGGGTTTCATGTAAGTTAGGTATTTCAAGTGCTCGGGGGGGTGGGGTTAGGTTTAAGGTTTCGGGTTCGTTGAGGGTTGGGAGTGAGGGCTGGCGCAGAATACTCGTACCCGTGAATATGGCAGAAATTCCGCGGCCGACTCGAGTCAGAATCGGGTTCCGGGCTGAAGGCTGAGAATTAAGGTTTAGGATGAGGGTTAAGGGTTTTTGAAGATTTCTTCGGAAGTTTTTTTCAGGGAGCCTCCATTCTTCAACCTGCAATCTCAGGGCAGATTCAGATTTGAATCGGGCCCCAGCCCACGATTCAGGATTGATATCATCCGAAAAAAAGTTATGTCAGACTCGAAGGATCAAATGTGATTGAGCGTGTTGCTCTTAAGCTTCCAAATTCGATGGCAAAGTGCGCAGCTGTCAGGTTCGGGCCCTGGCAGCAACCTCCGGTTCCACGGAAGCAGCCACCTGCCTGGGAGGCTGAACTAGGAACTGGGTTTAGGGTTTAGGGTTTAGGGTTTAGGGTTAGGGTTAGGGTTTAGGGTTTAGGGTCTAGGGTCTAGGGTCTAGGGTTTAGGGTTTGGGATTTAAGGCTTCGGGTTCTTGGGTGTAGGGTTTGGAGTTTAGGGTTTCGGGTTTACAGTGGTTTAGGGTTTAGAGTTGTTGAGGGCTTAGCGACCTGTTTAGTTCCTTCTCCAGCTTCAATAAGCAAGGAACTGTTTAGTTCCTTCTCCAGCTTCAATAAGCAAGGAATTGAGAAGGTTTCACTTCACAATAAGGAGGCCCCCCAAAAAGATTATGGTTCAATCGTTGGCTAAGTTTCAGGGTTTAGGGTTGCAACACGAAACCCAAATAGCCACCATAAGACCTCTACGAAAGGCCCCAACCCTAAACCCGAAACCCTTGACCCTAAGGGCCACTCGATCCCAACCCAAAACCTTGAAAGCCTGAAGCCCTACACCCTAAACCCTATGACCCCCAAACCATAAACCCTGAAACGCCTGACATCCTGAAACCCTGAACCCTATCCCTGAAGATCAAACAAGTCCCAAGAACCATTTACAACAAGGCCTTTGGGCCCCCAAAAGCCTTAAACTCAGAGTCCTTGGAGCCCTAAACCCTAAACCCTAAACCCTAAACCCTAAACCCTAAACCCTAAACCCTAAACCGTAAACCCTAAACCCTAAACCCTAAACCCTAAACCCTGACCCTTAGAACCCTCAGAAGCGACGTTCCCCTTTTTAACCCTTGTCAACCTGGCAACCCCAAGGCCCTTGCATCTAACCCTAAACCCCAAACCCCAAACCCTAAACCCTAAACCCTAAACCCTAAACCCTAAACCCCAAACCCCAAACCCTAAACCCTAGACCCAAACCCTAAACCCTAAACCCAGATAACCCTTAATTGTGTAATCTAGGGGCCTTAATATTATAATTCGAATAGGGTTTGCAGGGTGATTAAGAATTCTAAAGTGGCCATAAGGGAAAACGATTTGTAATTATTCCAACTAGGGCCCTAAACCCTAAACCCTACACCCAAAACCCTAAACCCTCAACCCTAAATCCTAAACCCGAAACCCTATACTAGGGCCCCCACATGAGGCCGGGGGCGGCCTCAAGAGCCAGGAACTCAGCCTGCGAGCCGCGCGCCGCGGCGTTGCGGCCTAGGGCTTGCTTGGGGGGGTTTAAGGGTTTAAGGGTTGAAGGGTTTAAGGGTTTAAGATGGTTTAAGATGGTTCAAGAGGGTTCAAGAGGGTTTAAGAGGGTTTAAGAGGGTTTAAGATGGGTTTAAGAAGGTTTAAGAGGGTTTAAGAGGGTTTAAGAAGGTTTAAGAGGGTTTAAGAGGGTTTAAGAGGGCTTAAGAGGGTTTAAGAAGGTTTAAGAGGGTTTAAGAGGGTTTAAGAGGGTTTAAGTGTTTAAGGGTGTCCAGGGGGTTTAGGGGGGTTTAAGGAGTTTAGGGTTTAGGGTTTAAGGGTGTCCAGGGGGTTTAGGTGGGTTTAAGGAGTTTAGGGTTGAGGGTTTAGGGGTGTTTCGGGGGTTTAGGAGGTTTAGGGATGTAAGGGGTATAGGGTTTAGGGCTTCGGGCTTATTGCTTTCGAGGGTTTCAGGGGTTTAGGGGCTTAGTGTTTCGGGGTGTGGGGTTCAGGGGGTGTGGGAGGGGGGTTTGAGGGTTTAGGGGGTTCAGGGGGTTTAAGGGGTTCAGTGGGCTCAATAGGTTTTAGTTCAAGAGGTTCACAGGGTTCATAGAGTTTTGGGTCTTGGGTTTGTAGTAAACCCTAAACCCTAAACCCTAAACCCCGAGTTTCATACGGGCTCCTTGAGTTCATAGGGCTTAGGCCTTGAGCATGAGCTAGGCCATGATCTGGCTATGTGGTCAAGGGTTTAGTGCTGCCCTGACGAGGGTGATTTGTCCCAGTGTGTCAGGGCTGACCCTAAACCCCTATGTAAACCCCGTAAACCCTAAACCCTCATAACAGGCCTTCGGCTTTATAGGCTTCCTGGGGCTTCTGGGGCTGTTTGTCCTACTGGTTCTTAGTAGGGAATCAGGCAATTTTCCCCTTCCCCTTTAAGGAATTCGACACCAACTCCCTGATTACCTACTAAGAAGGAGTAGGTATATGGGGCATAGGGATGCAGACCCTAAACCCTAAACCCTAAACCCTAAACCCTAAAGCCTAAACCCTAAACCCTAAACCCTAAACCCTAAACTGCGAAAGCTCAGAGGCTGTTTCGGGGTCCTACTGGGCTCAGGGTAGGACACTCCTTTTTCTCTGAGCTTTCGCATGGTAGCGGAGCTCTGCTGAGCCCAGGGCCAGCATCTCCGAGCGGGCAGCCCCGCAGGTCTGGAGGACCTGCCTTTGCTGTCTGCGGGTAGCACCGCCCTGCAGGTGCAAGCAACGGTCACCGGGGACCAGAAACCCGGGGAAAGAAGCACTAGGCTTTGAAGCTTAGTGCGGGTAGACCCGCCTAGAGGTCTAACCTTCGGCACCTGGGCCGACAAACCAGGACCACAGGCCGAGCCAACCGGGCCGGTCTTCACCTCTGGATTTGCCCAGCTTTGTGCGGGTAGATCCGCCCTAGTCTTGCAGCCACGTCCGACAGGGACTGGCACGACTGGGGTTGGAATCGGGACCAGTCTGGTTCCTGGTGGGACAACCACCAAGCCGAAGCTGACCAGCACTGGGACTGGCAGCAAGAGGTCTGGCAGCAAGAAAGCTGGACCGAAAACACAGGCCAAGCCGAGGACCCCTGGGCCGGCTGGTCAGGTGTGCATTCGTGGGTGGAGGCACACCCGGTGCCTGAACCCAGTGCACCTCCGCGTAGTCGCAGTCCGCGGCATCGCAGCGAACCTGCAGCTTCCAGTGCGGGTAGACCCGCCAAACCAAGGGGAAAGCCCTGGTGGGAACGTCCCCCGCCCGAGTGGGTGTGGGACGAGAGCAACCAACGCTGGAAGCGCAAGAATCAGCAGGGAAAACGCTCACCTGAAAAGGTTGAGGAACGTATCCAGCGCGGACAAGAGCGACGAGCAGCCAGCTCGTCAGCAAAAGTCGCGCGGGTAGAACCGCCTCAGGAGGCGGAGACCTCGACTGAGCCAGGTGAGCCAGTCGTTCTCACCCCAGCGCCGGCAGCAGCCGAGCCAGCGGGTAGCCCCGCGGAGGGTCAGAATCCTCCTCCAGCTCGTCAGTCAGCACCATCGACTACGAGTCTGGGAGTCTGCCCGTGCAGACTGAAGCGGCAGCAAGTGCAGCCGCAGAAAGAATTCGGGCCATCAAGCTCGAAGGGGATCCGGGCGAACCGGAAGGACCCCACGCACCATCTGCAGGGGTGAAGAGCGAGGATCCGAACGAGGAACCCCTCGCAAGTGCGGCAGCTAAAGCTGCGTCTGAGCTCCGAGACTCCTGGATCTCAGTGAAAGAGGAGGTTGACTATAGCCCCTCGGACACTCCAGGAGCGGGTAGCACCGCCGCAGCAGAAGCTGCGGAACCCAGCCCGGAAGCGGGCAGCCCCGCCGCAGCCGAAGCTGCGGTACAAAGCTCCTGGGTGGAAGTCCAGGAAACAGCAGACTCCCTAGCTGGGAGCACGATCCCAAGCCCACGCCTCTCCGAAGATGGCGATGGCGGGGACGACACAGCTCACCGCTGAAGAGGTGAGCAGGCAGCTCACGGGACTCACTGAAGCCCTCCGAAGGGCAGAGGAGGCCCACCGTGGGTTGCAAGAGCAGCTGGCTCAAAGCCAGCATCGCACCCAACTGTTGGAGCAACAGCTCCTGGAACTCCAACAGGCGGGTAGCACCGCCGCGGGTGGCACCGCAGCCAGCAGAGCAGCGGCGGCCGCAGCGGTAGGTAGCGTTTCACCCCAAGGACTGTTAGGTTTAGCAGCACCGCTGAAAGGGGTAGACTTACTTAAACAAGCCATTAAACCCCCCAAACCCTTAAAGGGAGTAGAAGATTGGGAAAGGTTTGTGTGGCAAGTTGAAACCTTTGCTGCACTCGTGGACGAAAGTTTTCCAGTGCACTTAGAGGAAGCCAGAAAGAGTCAAAGTGACAACACACCGACCGAAGAGAGCGACGAATACCGAGCTCTCTCAGTCAAACTGTTTGGGATGCTGGTATCGCTCATCGCTGAATGCCCAGCTGCATTGAAGATTGCAAGGGGCACGAGAAACCAAAATGGATTCGTCCTGTGGCGAATGCTATGGCGAGAGTTTCATCCCGAACAGGCCAACAGAGGTCTCATTTGGAGACGAGCCCTGCTTTCGCCGAAGTTTCCAAACAAAGAGGGCGACTTTAGTGCAGCTCTTCAAGAATGGGAGCTGGATCTCGCGAAGTATGAATCCGAGTTTGGAGCCGAAAAGGCCATCTCAGATGAAGACAAGCGAGCGCTACTTATGGTCGAATCGCCCCAGGCCCTGAAGCAGCACTTGGCAATGCATGCTTCGTCGCTAGGATCGTACGATGAGGTTCGGGCTGTGGTAGTCTCATACCTGCAAGCAAAGAGGGTGTGGACACCGTCCGGTGGTTATGCTCAGTCAAGCCGCCGAGCAGCTCACGATCCCGATGCCATGGATATTGGCAAAGTCGGCGATGCCAAAGGCGATAAGGGGAAAGGAAAAGAAAAGAAGGGCAAAGGAAAAGACAAAGACCCCAAAGGGGGGAACAAACCCGAGAAGGGTGGAAAGGGCCAAGACGAAAGAAACCAGCAGAAAGAAAAGGAGAAGTGCCCCATATGCTGGCGAACTGGGCACACAGTGAAAGACTGCTGGTACAATGTGAAAGGAAAAGGCAAAGGAACGCCGAAGGGCGGAGTAAACGCTGTTGCTGACGACACTTCGTCACAGCTCTCAGCGGGTCCCTCCGCTTCCCAGGCGGGCAGCGCCGCGACTACGGCAAAACCTGGTGTGAGACACATCTCGGATGAGCCCATGCGAGTGCTGGCTGTGCGGAACAACGACCCCCGCCAAGGACACCTCCTGGTGGATACCGGTGCCGCTGTTTCCGTTTGCCGCCCGGGAACCTTTTCCAGTAAACTTGACCCGAAAGGACAAATGGCTCTGTACAGTGTGGACGACACGCCGCTCAACACCCTAGGCGCCACGGAACCTGTGCTGCGACTAGGCGGGGACCACCGCCAGAATGCACGAACCACGTTTCAAGTGGTTGAAGGTATCACGGATGACATTCTGTCTGTGAACCGAGCGGTGGATGCTGGAGCGCGGGTTGTGTTCCACGCGTCAGGCTCGCACATTGAGTGGGCTGACGGCTCACGAGCCGATTTCGTCCGAAGTGGGAAGCAATTCCTGCTACCTTACGCTGAAATGGCCAAACCCAGCAAGCACGTGACCATAGCGGCCGTTGAGGATTTTCCCGACGACCTGGAAGCTCAAGCGGTCGAGGAATTCGCTATCGCTGAAGAACAGCGGGAGGCAGAAGCCGCGCGGGCCGAGGCAGCAGCTGCCGAAGCCAATGAGGGTGAGGGCGAAGAACGCCAGGACCTTGAAGCGGTAGCCCCGCCAGCGGATCCCGAGCCGAACGAGGAAAGCGTGCCACGCGAGCCCACGGCCGAAGAGAAAGAGCGCCATAGACTCACTCACCTGCCATTCCAGAGCTGGTGTCCGGAATGCGTGCAGGGGGCCGGGCGAGGCGGGCACCACCGCCGAAAGAAAGACGCGGGAGAAGGCGCATTGGAAGCGACGGTCCAAATGGACTACACCTTCTACTCGCGAGGGGCGCAGCAAAGGCTCGCGCCGGAGAACGAGTCTGTTCTCGTCACGGTACTGACGCTGGTTGACCGCGACACCGGCTGGCCGTGCAGCGCGCAGGTGCCTAGAAAAGGTCAGGAGCGCGGACCATTTGTGTTGGACGCAATAGAGCTCTACCTGAACAATTTGGGACACAAAAGAGTGATCCTGCAAATTGACCAAGAAGGAGCGTTGAGAAACGTTGCTGTGGCTGTAAGAAACCGGATGGGGGCACACAAGGTTCGAGTGCGGGAGTCACCGCCGTACTCGCACCAGAGCCAGGGCGCCGTTGAAGGCGAACACCACCAACTCGCAGGTTTGGTACGCACATGGCTCATGGACCTCCAGAATCGGTACCCCAACTGCATGGTTGACGTCAATCATGTGGTGTTTCCCTGGCTAGTCAAGTACGTCGCTTGGTCTGCGGCGAGGTTTCAAGTGAGAACCGCCGACAAAATGACCGCGTACAAGATAGTCAATGGGGTAGAATACTTGAGCCCCATATGCAAATTTGGGGAAACAGTCATGGCAAAACTTCCGAAACCAGGCACCAAGGCGCAACGCCGTTGGATACGTGGGATATGGGTTGGTCGTCTAGAGCGCGACAACACCAACATTATACTCACGGAGGCTGGGGCATTGAGTGTGCGGTCTGTCCGCCGTTTACCACCAGACGCGCAAGCCAACAGAACCCTGATGGGGACCGTAGCTGGCGTGCCATGGGCACTTCGACAAGGAAGGACGTTGCGGCAAGCACCCGCCCTGCAGGCAGAACCTCTGGTGCTGCCAGCACCGCCACTCATGCAAGCCGAAACCGAAGGCGACCACGTGGAGCAAGAGGGCGCAACGCAAATCCCCTCAATGGCCCACGATGGACCCGAAGAAAGAATGGACAAAGACGCGTTGGACGTTGAAGGCGCCGCAGCCGCGGAAAGCCTCGAACCACGCGAAGACATGGACGTTTTCGATGGCGATACCGGCGCGGGAGTTCTCGTCTCACCTGAAGAAACCGCTGAGGCTGAAGCTATTCGAAATGCAGCGCCATCGAGTCCCACAACGTCGGATGGCCCATCCGCAGAAAGCGCGGGAGCCGCCGCCGGATCACCTAGAGCACCAGCAGGGATGGCTTATCCCACGGGGCTGGGCGAAGGGGGGCTGGCGACCAAGCGTTCAGGCGCAGCGCCACCTGCGGAAGAGACCAGGCCAACAAAGCAACCCAAAGCCGAAGCCAAGAAGTCCCAACGTGTAGGCAAACTACAGGTGCAAGATCTGTGGAAAAAGGTGGAGGAATGGGCCAATGCGGACGACCCCGCTGTAGCGCAGCAGAGGCTCGCCACGGTGATGGAATATCTCGATTCCGTGCCCGACCCACAGCAGATCCAGAAAGCACGCGAAGAGCAACTTTGGAAGCTCTGGCGGCTGAACGCCTTCACACCGGTGATGCGATGGGACAAGCCGGCAGACGCCCAGACCTTTCACTACAAGTGGGTGGACAAGGTGAAAGACGGCGTGTGCAAAAGCAGGTTTACCTGCGCCGACACACGACGATCCTATACCCCAGAAATGGAGCAGGACATGCGTGTCTTTGTTCCTACCCCTACTCCTGAAGCACACGCACTGCTCGAAATAACGGCTCTGCAAAGAGGCTGCACCATGAGAACCTTCGACATCGTTGCTGCTTTCCTGATCGGCAAGGACCGAGGGGCGCAGAACGAAAACTGGGTCTACATGCGACCGCCAGCCGAGTGGAAGCCCATTTTCGACCAGTGGGTGCGGGAGCAACCGCCGTCTGAGCAGTCCAAGCTCAGAGGACAATTTGCTGACATGCTGTTCAGGCTCGATGGAAATTTGTATGGTCGAAGAACAGCTGGCTCCGTCTATCGAGACGAGCTGGAAGAGCTGTTATGCCACAAATTGTCACAGACCGGCCGGTATGCTTTCAAAAGAGGGGTAAAAGATCCATGCATCTACAGATGCATGAAGACAGGTATCATAGTGGTCCATCACATCGATGACGGAAGATGTGCGGGGAACGCCGCCCTGCTGAACACCTTCCTGGACGAGGATATGTGCAGCCACTGTGAAATCACCACCGGTCCTCTTGAGGCCGAAGGTGTATCGGTAGAAGTTTTGGGAAAAACCAAAACACGCTTAGAGGGCTGCATCCTAACAGCCCCGGACGCAAAGCATGCTCGAAACATCATCGAAGCACTCGGTCTGAAGCCCGGAGAGAAGTCTCCAGTGCCTTCTCGCAAACCCGATCTCTCGGACGTGACGCCGTTGAGTGCGGGGGATGCCGCCAAATACCGATCCGCTGTGGGGTCCGGAATTTACCTCTCGGCCGACAGACGTGACATTCAGTATGCGGTGAAAGAGTTGGCGAGGCATATGGCCGAACCCAGACAGTGCGACATGCAACAAGCACGACTGCTGGGAAAATACCTGCAACAAGCGCCCGACCTTGTTCGAGTCACTGCACTCGACCCAAGCGCGTACGAAGGGCCCATGACGCTCGACGTCTTCAGCGACAGCGATTGGGGAGGATGTGTTGAAACCCGGCGATCCACAGATTGTCATGTGGTGGTTCTGGGAGGAGCAATTGTCGCCACATCCACGCAGACCCAGCCGGGATTGCCTGCCACCAGCAGCCCTGACGCTGAGTTAAGAGGCATCAGCCGGGCCTGTCGCGAGGCCATCTTCGTACACGAACTGGCGACCATGGATTTTGGGCTGGAGGTGGAAATCCCACGCCTGTGGTCAGACAGCTCCACTGGCATCACAGCCGCAAAACGCATAGGGCCAGGAACCAAGCTACGCCATCTGGACGTGAGCGAATTCTACGTCCAAGGGGCAGTGCAGGCCGGGAAAGCGCTGTTGCGAAAAGTCAAAGGAACTGAGAATCCGGCGAATTTTCTCACCAGGCACCCAAAGTCCGAAAACGAAGTGCTACAAGCTTTACCTTCGTTGGGCATGGTGGACCCCAAACATGTTGCGGGCGCCACCGCCCAGGAGAAACACACGGTGAAGTTTGTGCGGGTGAATCCGCCTACGAGCTGGAAACCCGTGTTTCCGTTCAAGCCTACGCTCGCAATCGCGGGTATCACTATGGCTTCACAGATCTTAGGAGTGAAGGCCCAGCCAAGGGAGAAAGAACTCCTAGAGCTGGTGCTGGATGCCATTTTGTGGCTGGGACTCCTGGGATGGTTTGTTTTGCTCTACCACATGGTGAAGAGCACTGTGAGGGGAACTCTGGCTATATACAGGAGGGTGAACCGACACCGGCAACATGAAGAAGAGCCGGAACCGGAAGCGTCGGAGGACGAAGCTCCAACGCAGGCCGCGGAAAACGCGCCACCTCCACTCGAGGACTTGTTCCGAGAGGGAGTGCGGGCACCTCCGCCTCGGGACCTGCGACCCCCAGCTCCTGAGCCAGAACCTCCAGAGGTGGGCCAACAGGCAGCAGCTTCTGCCGTACCACCGCAACCCGCACAGGGAGATCAGCAGCGACGAGCACGTCGAAGAACTAGACCACAGGTACCCCGGAGAGAACCAGGGGAGATCTACTATGCGCCTTGCCGAAGGACAGCGCATGTATTCCGTAACTGCTCTGGGCTAAGTTCAACCCAGCAGCAAGACATCGTGGTCGAACAGTTCTGTGCCTACTGCCTGGAAAACTTTCCTGGACACCTCAGGCTCGAGAACGAACCTCGGGTATGGGTGACAGGGACGAATCTAAGGGCACATATCTTTCAGAATTGCCCTGAACTCCAAGGATGGCAAAGAGCGATTCCGATGTGCAATCACTGCAGTTTGAGACACATCTCGCGAGATCCCTGAGCGGTAGTCCCGCCAAGCGGGCACCACCGCTGGTCAGGATGACCAGCAAATCCAAAACAATGCACAACCCTCTGAGGTTGGAGGGGGGTGCGATTTATCTACGGTAAGTAGCTTAATTACCCAACACTCCGAGGGCTTGAGCTAAAGGCTACCCCTACGCTGTATAGAAACCCACTGCGCAACCGCAGCCCTTTTGAGGCTTCAAGCGAAGAGAAAAAGGAGTGTCCTACCCTGAGCCCAGTAGGACCCCCGAAACAGCCTCTGAGCTTTCGCATAAACCCTAAACCCTTGGGGGTTTGCAGGAGGTTGCGAGGGCTTAGGGTGCATGCGGAGCTAGGGCTTCCATCCTGCAGTCAGGACAACTCAGGGTCTAGGGTCTAAATTTTAAAGGTACACTGCTAAAGAACATCCGAAGAGGAGCTCTCTTTGAAAGTCCCTAAGTCCTTGGTTCTCCTCTTCAATTTGGAGTCTTTACGGGTCGCAGGAAAAAGATACCCCTGCGCTGGCCATGTCCAGGTCTCCTCCACTGGAACAATGCCGGGATTGCCTTGCTTCTTCACGCAAGACACTCGGAGGCCGCCGTTGCGCCACCAGTCGTTGAACAACGTCACTGCGCGGGATGGCATTACCTTCTCCGTTTCCTCTTGACCCTTGAGGGCTGGGACGACAACCACGTTGCGGCACCAATCAAAGCTCTCCGCTGTCAACATGAGGGTTTAGGGGGTTTAGGGGTTTAGGGTTTAGGGGTTTAGGGTTTAGGGCTTAGGGTTTAGGGCTTAGGGTTTAGGGTTCATGAACTGGGCTTGGCACGCGCCAGGCGAACTGCAGTGGCATCCACCTGGGCTGCTGGCGGACTCCGAGTGTCGTGGAAACGTATCGACGCCACATGGGTAGTTGGAACACGGGCCGTAGATTATTGCCGCAGTGTTTCCTGCATTTTCCGATGTTTCCTGCGCTTTTCCTGTTGTTCGGCTTTGGGGGGGGGGGGGGGGCCAAGGGCCAAGGGGGGATAAGAACGTCATATTGCGCCCATGCACAAAACACTGGTATTTACCGCGTTTTCGCCTCGTTGTACAACATACTGCGCAAGGATGTGGAACAAGAAAAGCTGTCACAAGCGTCCATGCCTTTGGCTGAAGTACGATGTCAATTAACCCCAAAGCCCCAAATTGAGCATAAATCGAAGTAGTTTGTTACTGCCTGTTAAACCTCCTCTTCTAGGAATCCTGCGAAAAGCGAGGTAAAACGTACGTTTTAGTACACCCAAACACCACGGCAATCTATGGCCCGTGTCCGGGTAGTTCTCTACAGGGTCATGGTACTTGGTAACCCCATCATAACTGCACTTGTAACCCCATTATAACCCTCTTGGGGTACTTCAGGCGCTTATAAGTGGGTTGAAACTCCACTTCTAATTGGGTAGTAGTAAGTACCCTGAACCTCCAAGTAGTTTCCCCTTCCGGGGCCCTGAATAAGGTGGACAACCGAAACCCCAAACCCTAAACCCTAAACCCTAAACCCTAAACCCTAAACCCTAAACCCTTATAAACCCTAAGCCCGAATCTAAAGCACCCTAACAAGCCCCACGGATCGAAATCCTAGCTGCTCGTATCACGAGCCTTTACCTTAAACAGATTAAAGCCTTCACCCAAGTGCGGGCTTCCGATCATAAGGGTTATCTCAGTGGGGGTTCAGGATTATAGTATTTTGGGGTGCTTTCGGGGTACCCCTAAACCCTAAACCCTAAACCCTAAACCCTAAACCCTAAACCCTAAACCCATTTTTTAAGGCAAAAACCGCAATTGTTCCGGTCGCGGCGGCCCGCGCCTCCACGCCGATCACGCGCTCGAAGCGGCTTGCCGCACTGAGGGCAAAGAGGCCGACACCGCAGAAGATGTCAGCCAAGACCTGCGAACGCGGGTTTAGGGTTTAGGGTTTAGGGTTCAGGGTTCAGGGTTTAGGGTTTAGGGTTTAGGGTTTAGAAGGTTTAGGGCTCAGGGCTTAGGGTTTAGGGGCCTGGAATTCGCGCACATCCGAACCCACTCACTTGCGCAGAGTCCGCGCTGAACGCGCACTGAGGCAAGGGCGCGTGGGGACACGCCGTCCGCCCGAGCTGCACTGGCTGCAGTGATGACATGCCTCTGACCACGATGCACCAAGCGGCTCTGGGGCTTCTTACGCCCTAACCCTAAACCCTAAACCCTAAACCGGAAACCCTAAACCCTACTGGATAAGACGATTCAGTTAGGCAGGTTATAACCCTGGTTATAAGTCGGGCAACCCATGCTATAACCCCGATAACTTCACCCAAAGTTCACCCCTAACTTCTCTACTACTTATACCCTTAGTTACTGGGGTTTTGGGTGAGTTATGTAAGTGTGCCCGGAAAGTTACAAGTTAGTTAGGGTTTAGTTAGAGTCAAGTTAGGGTCTAGTTACGGGTTCGCGTTATTTTTGCTTCTGCAGAAGGCAGTGTTGGCCTGGAAGCCGTGATATAGCGCTGCAATCATGACCGTCCATGTGCGCTGAGTGTGGGTATAGCGAGGACGGTTGGCGTTGTCGTCTGAAGTCAGTAAAGGAAGTGTTCTCAAAGAGAAGCTTCAGTCGCACGTCTTGGTGCCATTTGCTGCTGTCTGTGTTCAAGCTGAAGTGTCACTTGGGGTAATGAACGCAATACGGAGATCGCACCACGAAAGGGTGGAGCGACGGCGCTTGCAGCTCATCTCCTTTGCGAGGCATTGGATTTTCACGCCACGCAGTCGCCCGGCTGAGGAAGACACCTTCATGCGGCCGACTCTGCTGGGGCGAATCATCAGCTGCCTAGGCCTTCGCGAATGGGCTTCTGTTCAGAATACCAATTCTGCTGTGGGCAGACTGTTGGGCTTGCTGGCAGATGATTCCGTACATCTGGAGTCGCGGCTCCTCCCTGCTGACTACTTGTACAGCAGCAGCAACGACGGCAGCTCCTCCAGCGACAGCAGCTCTGAGCATGGGTACCGATCACCTTTGCTGTGTGTACCAGAGCCAGAGCCAGAGAGCGAGCCACCGTAAAGAATGCGTCGGCTAAAAGTGCAAGTGTTCTTTGTGTGTTGGTTGACCCTGTATACATACAATAATATATATACCTGCAGAACGCCGCGTTTCCTTGAGAAGCATCTGGCTCAGTTTCTTTACACAGTGAGCCTCCACTTTGCCTGGACCACGGCGCCATGGCTCGAGAAGCTGTGCAAGCAATGGCAGGCATGCTTCAGGGTATGCAGACACCGGCTTTGCGCCAGCAGCACTTGCAGTCTCTTCTTACCCTTTTGCCTTCGTTGCCCTTGACCGCAGAAGAGAAGGGCGGTCTGAATGCGGAGATGTCCAGGGTCTCCATGGGGTTTTCTGCTGCAGAGCGGGACAGCATCCTGGCTGCGCTGGCTGATGCACCATCACGGCGCAGGCCCCAGCAGGACTTCAGCCACATCGACCGCTTCCTGACGTCCGGCCTGTGGCGTGCCCTTGCGAGCATGTCCTCCGCCAGGCAACGCTCAGAAGCTTTGAGCGAGTACGCCTTCAACTTGGGTCTCCGACTGCCAAGCGAACAGACATTTGGCTGGCTTACCGCCATTGCCTCCTTGCTTGAAGGCGAGACGGATGCATACCACATGCATTGCATTTTGCAGACCGTGAAGCAGATGTGGCAGGTGGTGAAGAAGCGGTGCGGCAAGCGCATTCCGGAGCCTTGCCTGACACTTGGCAGCAACTGCCTGGCGCCATCGTTGCCGCCGCGGCTGCCGACGGCGAGGCAGCGCCGGCAGCGGAGCGGCCCTTTGCAGAGGCTCTGTTATTTGCGACCGCTGCCCGCGTTCCTTTGAGGAACACACACACGACTGTAGCCGCGGAGGCCCAAACATTGCAGACATCTGGTGTGGCCAACTTGTTGCGCATGCTGAGTGGCCAAGGGCTCAGCTTGGGCCGCCAAAGCAAGAAGACGGAAACGGGGGGGCTCCTGCGTAACCTGCAGGTCTTCGGCCCGGGGCCGTCAGCGACATCCCCGCAGAACACGCAGCAAGCTGGACCTGCGCAGCTTACTGGCCTGGCTTTCTCCCAGTCGCAGGCTGCCCTGCAGGGGCCAGCTTCCGCTGCGTGCCCAGCCTTGCCGGCTCTGCGTGATGGGGAGTCAGCAGCGGACACCTCCAGGCAGACTGTAGACGATGCCTCCCGGCAGCTTCCTGCGGCCGAGCCAGAGCAGGGCGCAGCCAGCGAGGTGACTGGGGCGCAGCATGTTGACAAGTTGGAGTCTGCTTTGCGGGCGAAGGCTGGTTTGAAAGAGAGGGTGAGAGACAATGGCAAGACCAAGACCATGAAGAAAAGCAAGAGCCTGAAGGCCAGGCCAGCGGCAGCTCCTTTCCCTGCAGACCGCGAAGGCCAAGTCTAAGACATGGGGCATAAACTCGAAAGAGGAGCAGCGATCCAGGGTCCGTCAGGGACTGACGAAGACTCTGCTGTTTCAGTACTGTGACGGCTGCACGAGGTGCCGGCATCGACCGGGATGTTCCGACAGTTGCTGGCGTAAGCGAGGGTATAGTGTGGGCAAGTGAGAGCACGCCGTGTGGCAATGTGGGGGTTTACGAAAATGTGGCACCCCAAACACTTTATAGGATCTCCTGCGACAGAGACCCGGAAAAGGCACCCCTTTCGGAAACCTCCATATGTCTGTGGGGTTGAGACCTGCATAAACATGCAGGCGCATGGTCTGCGCAGAGACTCGCTTTGGGAGTCTCTGGGGTAAAAATACCGCTGCTAGAAAATGTGAGATTTGTGCAGCCTCTGTTCTGCATGCTTCTGTCTCTTTGCATTGTCTGCGCACGTTGCCCGATATATGTAGCCCGCCGGAGCCGTTTCTGCTCGCAGCAACCTCGGCCCCCTCTGGAGAACTGCTGGTGACACTTGAGGCCTGAACGCTGGGAAGATATAGGGTGGGTTTATATAGGGCTTATATATAGGCTTTATAATTTACGGTTTAGGGTCTATAGGGTTTAGGGTATAGGGTTTAGGGTTAGGGTTGAGGGTTTAGGGATCTCTTAAAGCAACCCTCAAGCATATACGTCTACATATATATGTATATATATACACATATATACAGTTATGCCGTACTAAATATATAATAAAAATGAACTTAACATACATAAGATATATATATATATATATATATATCCATACATACACAAACAAAATCCTTATATAAACCCTCAACCCTAACATCCGAAACCCTATATATATGTATATATATATATATATAACCCTAACCCTATACAGACCCAAGAGCAAGAAAGTAGACATATATACTCTCTCTCTCTCTCTCTCTCTCTCTCTCTCTCTCTCTCTGTCTGTGTCTCACAGCCACGCAGGCTGAGGCCACGCAGGCCAGCCGCGCGGGCTATGTCAGGCCACGCAGGCCGGCTGTATATGTTGGGCCACGCAGGCCAGCCGCACAGGCTGTGTTGGGCCACGCAGGCCAGCCGCACGGGCTATGTTGCAGTCCAGCCGCGCGGGCTATGTTGGGCCACGCAGGCCAGCCACACAGGCTTCGGCCACGCAGGCCAAGGCCAGACCGGCCCAGCAGCCGCGCAGGCTAAAGGACAGAATATGTAAGTTGATATTTAATATGTATATATATATATATAGATATGCATATTCACCTATATGTGTATGCCTTGCGCGCCAGGACC